ATATATCGAAAAATATTGAAGATACGGAAAAACGTTTCAGACAAAAGTTGTTTGGTTCGAAGGGGAACATAAGATGGTGTCATTGGTTTAACCTTGATGTGCCAAGGTCACGTGGAGTTACACTTTGTTTTTTTAAATAGAATCACATCTTCCACTGCACATTCTTGTAGCTTACCTCGAGAGCTTTCCAAAACACAATAATGAAGCCTTTTTTTAGCCAGTACTTTTCGAGTTACGGAGCTTGAAAGTTACAATTCTACTGGGCATTAGCATTACCCAAGATGCACCGGCCAGTGAAGGCAAGACACTGATCCAGCCAATGAAGGCAAGACTGATTGACTCTGTAGGATCATATCGAAGTCACATTGAATGTATACATATTTTTTATCTACAGCTGCTCAAATGTACCACCATTCTGTTGGATACATAATTGCAACCGTTTTTCGAATGCACCGACTGTTTTTCTGAGTACGTTGGCTGGTATACTTCTACATGCTCGTTTAATGCGGTCCTTTAGGTCTTCAGCTGTGATATATGCGGTCTGGTAAATAGCATTTTTTATATTTTATCATAATATTTCATTACCAATGATAGTAAGAATTATTTTGTAAGGACAAATAAATATTTTAATTTTGGTTTGACGGAGGGTACAATCTCATCTTATTTCGTATACGAGACCGTTCCTGCGGCAGAGTGTCTCGCGCGTGATCGGTGGCTCGGCCGCCGCGCTTTGAGAAGTAGTGGGAGAAGCACAGGCGTTGCCTTTGAAATCGACTCGCTGTGCTCAATTCATTCCTAGCATCTCCAGCAAAGCACTGTTGTAGACTGCTACCACAATACACTTTCATTAGGCTCCTATTCAGCTGATTGTTTTTAGTTAAAATCGACTCGAGTTGGATCTTATTACGACGATTTGTTCGATACGTTTGGTTATTAATGTATTAAGTAAGTATTAAGTAAACTTATTTTATTCTTTTTCGTTAATTGTGTCATTATCAGCATGGCAGATTACATATCTTCAGAAATTGTTGATATGATTGGTATTTATTATGTCGCTGATAATAATGCTAGAGAAGCAGCTCGTCAATATTGAGATAGGTATCCAGATAGACATCCCGATCATAAAGCAATTTTGCGTTTAATAGCTAGAGCGCGTACGGGATAGATAAAACGCAAACGTTGTAAAAAACCATTAAATAACGACGATGCTATTATCGTAACTACATTAGCAATACATTAGCAGTTATATTAATATTAATAACGAATCCGCACATTAATCAACGTCAGATTAGTCGTGAATTAAATGTGTCCTGCGACTTTAAATAAAATTTTACATGGGAATTACATTCATCTTTATCACATTTCACTTAATCAGGAGCTTTCTGATAATGATAAAGTTCTTCATGTCGCATTCTGCAGATGGGCTGTAGCTCAAATTCAGCTCGATCCCACATTTTTTTCTCGTGTTATGTTTAGCGACGAAGATATATTTGAGAGCAGTGGCATACTGAATCGGCATAATAGCCATTATTATTCTGATATCAATCCCCACTAGGTTCGTCATGTAGACAATCAGCATCGGTGGGAGGTGATAGTTTGGTGTGGTATTTTAGATAGTCATATTGTTGGACCCCACTTTTTTGATAACAATGTTAGTTAGTTAGTTAAATAAATATGTATACATTCAATGTGACTTCGACGTGATCCTATAGAGTCTTCCTATAGAGTCAATCAGTCTTGCCTTCACTGGCTGAATCAGGGTCTTGCTTTCACTGGCCGGATCAATTTTGGGTTTTGCCTTCATTGGCCGATGCACCTTGGGTAATGCTAATGCCCGGTAGAATTGTAACTTCCAAGCTCCACAACTCGAAAAATACTGGTTAAAAAAGGTTTCATTATTGTATTTTGAAAAGCTCTCGAAGTAAGCTACAAGAATATGCAGTGGAAAATAGGTGATTCTATTTAAAAAAACAAAGTGTAACTCCACGTGATCTTGGCACGTTCACTCAAGGTCAAACCAATGACACTATCTTATGTCCCCTTTCGAACCAAACAACTTTTGTCTGAAATGTTTTTCCGTATCTTCCATATTTTTCGACATATTTGCCTGAGGCGATTAAAACTAAACACCCTGTTTATTGTAGTTTCGGCATTTTTTGTATGAGAATTTTTTTTTTAGAAAATCTTTCCCAAAATATTTTCTATAAGAAATAGAATATCTTATACATATAACTTATTTTAATTAAAATACATTTTAAAAAAATACATTATTTTAATTAAAATACATTGAAACGTTTTTTTTTCGTATAAAATTATTCCGAAAAAGATAAATTACCTAGTCATTGGTAAACACTTCACAATATTTTTCATTTGAGAAATTAAAGAACAGTTAAGCATTATGATGATTGACTATTTTCCTTTATTCTTCAAAGTCCTAAAAAAGAAATGTGTTGTAACCTTTATACTACAGTCTACAAATATTCTGTTTTTATTCATTATAAATCCTTTTGTATTTATTTTGTTCCTATTTATTTGTTTCCACTACATCTATTTCTATCCTTAAAATGTACAGATAAAATATATTAATGTTAATGTTCATTCAAATATTATTGAATGTATTCGCTACCATCGTTTGTCTGACAAACTGCCTGCTATAGCTCAACTACATTTTTAATTTTTTATGCCATAGAATAAGACTGATTCCATATGATATGATAAACGTAGGCGTATCATAATGTTAGCCGGATATAATACCAAAATACAAATTCAGACATATAGTGCGACGCTATTTTCCAAGCGCCGGCAAATTTCCGTCGGTCCACTATGCCACAGTCGCTAATGCGCGAGACCACAAAGTATTATTGTTGGGCGCCACACGGACAGTCGCATCGCTCACCAACGCTAATCGCCAAGCTCGTGACCGCGACGCGGGAATCCGACGAGACCGGTAGCTCCTTGAGATTTAAAGTCGGGAGACGGGATGGGTTCGATCGGAAATCGGGACAGTTTGAAGAAAGATAACGAACGGTGTTCTAAATATCGAGGTCACAATTTATTATTTCGGGAATCGGCACGCTCCGAAACCCTGCGGGACGATACAATTTTTCCCTGCGCTTTCTCGCGAGATCGATACCGCTCTACGCAACGGAACCCACTTTTGAACGGGACGCAAACACCGGAACACCGAAAATATGCAGGTGGACGGCCTTACAGTATGCGGGAACCTCCCGGCGGCGTGGTCCTGGACGGTCGTCGGGCGGGTCGCTCCCTTCGCTGGGTCGGTCACAGCCGGCGGTCATCGCTTCGTGCTTCCTTTTTCCCGCCTTCGTTCGGCCCTCGGCATCGCACGGTACACCTCGTTGCCTCCGGTAGCGATCGGAACACTAAACAAAATCTCTGTTGCGAGCGGAACACAAAATTTTGTCCCCTTATCGAGCGGAAAAACGAGTCTAGTTTTACGTGACGAAATCCGATCTGCTTCTTTCGCACGAAAAACGGAATCTCAATCTAATCTATTCTTCTCGCACGAAAAACAGAATTTCTTCCTTCCTTTCTTTCTTTTGTCTCTCCGTTTCGGGAGGGGTTCCTCTCTCCCCGTTCCTCGCTCTTCCGACTGAACGGGAATCCTCTCGTGAATCGCTGTTGTCGATCCGCGTAATATATGCTCTCTCTCTCTCTCTGTCTCTCTCTCTCTCTCTCTCTCTCTCTCTCTGTCTCTCTTTCTCTCTTTCTCTCTCTCTCTGTCTCGCTCTGTGTTCCGCGAGCATTGTCTTCGGGTCCGTCTAGACATTGTTTTTCTTCGGCGAGCGGGCCACGCGCCGTGGTCGTGGTCGACGGTATCACACCTCGCTCCTTCCGTCTCCGTCTAGGCTTTGTCTAGCAACAAACACGGCAGCAATAACCTCTTTCGGGACGACATATAATTTTATAATAAGAGACGATAATCGAGAGCAATCACCTGATCGTGCCGTGCCAGTCGATGAGCGACGTTCTCCACGTCCTTCCTGCTCCTCCTGTCCTGCTGGTCGGCTCGGGAGGTCCAGGGGCACAAAATCGTGGGACGCGAGACCGTCTCACCTGCACGCTCTTAACATTAATTGATTTTGCTCCAATTATTATGATGTTTCGAGGAGTCAATTCGAACTCCCTATGTACCGCGCGAAGAATTCTGCCCTCCCCCCGCGTCGCGACCGAGGTCTCGCCTCCTCGTGACGGGCGCCCCCGCGGCTGCCACGTCACAATAGAAAAAAGGGAGAAAAAAGAAATATGTGATATAACTAATGTCATATTGCTCAATATCAATATGCATACATTTTTCATATTATATAGAGTTTATCAACATATGAATATCTGAACAAAATATTCTACTAGAGTAAGATCTAATCAGCCGTTCTGAGCAGAAAATTATGATATTTTTGTAATAGTTTCATAGTAGCTTTTTCGGAAATATTCGGTTTTATACCAGCTCGCGATCAAACTGTGACCCATGTCAACTATCATCACTGTGACACGTATATAAAAAGGGGTAAGTGACAGAGAGAGAGGGAGGAGGAGGGAGGGAGGGAAAAAGGGAGAAATAGGAAAGGTGAACGAGGGAGGGAGGGAGAAAGAGAGAAGGAAATAATATTTTTAAAGAGTATTTACTATACATCAAAGTATTGTGTCAATATATTATACAATGTATATTATATAATTAAAGTAGATATGTGTAAGCCTAATATTAGCTAGTCGAACTGAATTATTCGAAATGCCGTAACGTTCTTTTTACTAAAAATTAATACCATCTTGTCTTAATCGGTAATATATATTCTGTTCAGATATTCATATGTACATGATACAGCTGATTTATACAAATTTTGTTTGTTTATATAAACATAAATACAAAATTTATCATATGTATGGTAGCGAACATGTTAAAGAAAGTTAAGTTAAATTTAAGTTAAGTTAAAGTTAATTTGATCACAGTGTAATTTTTTAAATGTTCTGCCTTAAAATTGCAGCCGAAATAGGAGCAGTCAACGATACTCGAGTGATGACTTGTATAAACCACGCCCATTATTTTCAAGTTCTTCTCGTCGAAGCAGACGATCTAATCAAGTATAGCTAGTGCTACATGGATTCAGATGTTGAATAAATTTATACATTGTACAATTTTAAAATATACTTTCCTGTCTTGCTGCGTAATATTAGCATAAATAAGCATGTGTTGACTTATTATATATGTAATGTTTGTACTAATGTTATATAAAGTACTAATTTATCATGGAATTATAACAATAAGTATACATCAAATTTTATGTTTAAATTTTATCTTTTAAATATTTACTTACACAATTTAATACTTCATTAAGTAATAAGTACATATCTACTTGTATGTGCGTATGTATATGCGTGCACATACGTACATATGTATGTATGCATCTATTTATGTATATATGTGTATATGTATATATGTATATATGTAAGTACGTATATATGTACGTATGTATAGTTGTACATGTATACTACGCGCATAAAAAGGCATATTAATATATATGCATTCAATACAATTTTTAAGTTATTAAAATTTCGAAATGGCGGTTTTAATGTAATGAAAAAAACATTCCAACGTAATTGTTTTCGCATATGAATTAAAACTAAAAATCATAAAAAAGGTTTTGTATTTATTTTTACAAAAATATAAATTAAAACCTATTAAAACAATCTTTAACATACATGCATGGACACATATATACACGTTAGGTATACATATTAAATTCGGTGCCTTTTTGTACAAAATTGCAAATTTATTTATTAAGAAATTATAATAAACTCAATAATTAAAATAGTTGCTGTTGGTGCCGGTGATTATCTAGCGTGTAATTATATAAAGATAGAGACTATTCTTTGATTCCAATAATTTTGAAATATATTATCATGGTCGTCGCCATAAGTAATGTCGTGAAGGTCTCGGTATTGAAACTAAAAATTTTAATATATTTACTATTTAACATAAATATAAGATTTCTTAAATTGTCTTCTTAAATAACTTTTCAATAGATAACAAGAGCCATAGAAAGGAAGAAAAAGAGGGATAAGAAGAAGGAAGAAGGGTGGAAGGGTTAAAACACTTTTTCCCTTTCCTTTTTTCTTTTTTCTGTCCCCCTTTCTTTCTCTTTCTCTATCCCTTTTCCATCCTGCCCCATCCACCCTTCTTCCTTCTTCTTATCCCTCTTTTTCTTCCTTTCTATGGCTCTTGTTATCTATTGAAAATTTCTTTCTTTCTTCCTTTCTTCCTTTCTTGTTATCTATTGAAAAGTTTATTTAAGAAGACAATTTAAAAAATCTTATAGTTATGTTAAGCAGTAAATATATTAAAATTTTTAATTTCAATACCGAAAAGCTGTGTTTATGTATATATATATATATATATATACACAAGTATATGTATACATTTATAAATAGGATAAAAGAAAGAGTATAGGCCAGGGAAGTTTCACATCTGTTCCAGTATTTTACCGTAGAGTCCTAATCTAAAGGAGCATAAATAATCTAAATACAAATAATCTAAGCACTAATAATCTAAAGGAGCGTTTTCTTTTTCGTGGTTCCCATAGTTGATATATTGGGCGCGCAACAGGCAGCTAATCGCTTGTAAACAAGATAATCTCTGTATATCTAACACAATAAATAAAAAACATAAAGAAAGAACGATATTGCCCGGAATATCGATAGGTGTTAATGTAACATATATGAAATTACCGAAAACAAAACATTGGCGGTATAACTCGAATGTTTGGAAATATAATATACAAGAAAACATAAAAACGTTTTAAGGATATGCGTATTATGCAGTTATGAATATTGTTGTCAGGTTTATAATAAAAACAATGATCCATATTCAGAACATGCTTATAACTATGTTAATGCGCTGTTAACTAATCAGAAGGCATATTGCGTGGCTTTTCATTGGTTAACAGCGCGCTGACATAGTTATAAGCGTGTTCTGAATATCGTCTCTAGATTTTTATATTAAATCGTAAAATGTATATGTGTGTGCATGTGTACATGCGTGCGTTGCGTGTATGTATGCGCATGCGCACGTGTGTCTGTGTAAGTACGTGCGTGCGTGCTCATCTATGTGTTTACTTTAATCCTTTGAAACATGATAGGATCCCACCTTTTCTTTTTTCATTTTTAATTATTTAAGCTATCTTTTTAATACTAATTTTAAACTGTCGCAGTCATTGATATAATCAAAGTGTTTCTTCTGGATGGATACCGTGTCGTAATTCAGCTTTGTGCCGACGTTTCGCAAACATTGCAGCTGACATCATCAAAGCTAGGAGCTCCGATATTGAGTTGTCCTGGTTTGTACGAGATATATCCAGAAAGTAAAAAATATAAGGGCTGTGTAGGGATTTTTTTGTTGCAAAGTTGGCACCCGTGACATGTAGAGGGGTTCGTAACGGTCAAAATAAGCCATCGAGCGCCTCAGTCAGTTACGAAATGTCGCAGCAGTCTAATACGTCAATCAGTGCATCCGCCGTTCGCTCCACCTACAGCAGGTGTGAGATTCGTTCCAGTCATTCGGTTCCTCACTTTGCGTAACGAATCGGCGGCCAGTATCCATCGCCAGCTCGTGGAAACTCTTGAGTCAAAAAGACAGTCTCTGCAGTGGCGCCATACCCATTCTCCATCCTCCAAAAAATTCAAAGTTCAATCTTCAGAGAGGAAAATCATGACATCCGTGTTTTGGGACCGGAAAGGGCTTTTGTTGGTCGATTTCATGCCCAAAGGGACCACCATCAATGCTGCTGCATATTGTGAGATCCTAAAGAAGTTGAGAAAAAAAATCAAAGACAAAAGGAGGGGAATGCTGACTTGTGGTGCGTCCCTCCTTCAACGCCAGACCCCATACCGCCCGGCTCACTTAAGACCTGCTCGTGTCGTTTGGATGGGACATTGTGACTCACCCACCCTACTCCCCTGACCTGGCACCCTCGGATTACCATCTTTTCAATAAATTGAAGGAGTTCTTGGATGAACAGCGCTTTTCGAACGATGAGGAGGTCATGCAGACTGTGACAAAGTGGCTTCAGGAGGTGGGGCGAACGGTATACGACGAGGGTATACAAAAGCTGGTGCCCAGGCTTCAAAAGTGCATTAACCTCAACGGCGATTATGTGGAGAAATAATAACATATTTTGGCACATACCATGTAAATTTCAATAAAATATATTCATTTTTCGATTTTAAACAATTGTTGTATTCTTACTTTCTGGATGTACCTTGTAGTTGTCCTTATATACTCTCCCATTCTTCTAAGTGGGGGTTGGGAGAAATGGGCCAGCTGGCCAATTAATATAATTGGTCGAAACATTTCCCCCACCCCGTTTCCCATTTCTCTTAACCCCCACTTAGAAGAATGGGAGAGTATATAAAGACAACCACGTATGAGTGGCGTTGGAGTATTTATTGTATGCACAGAGCCATCTATTGAAGAAGAAGGAGATAAGGACAACCATAAATCAGGACAACTCAATATCGGAATCGTGATGATGTTAGCTGCAATGTTTGCGAAACGTCAGCACAAAGCTGAATTACGACATGGTATCCATCCGGAAGAAACACACTTTGATTGCTATTTTTTTAATATATTCGTCCGAATTTTTTTCACTTCTAAAATATGTTAGATATTGATATACGTGTTAAAAATGTAAAATGTCAATTTTTTTTAAATTGAAGCATCCTATAAATAAACAAATTGCATAAAATTATATATTTTTCAGTAAAAATGCATTTAACGGGTTAGTCTATAAAAACAGTCGTAACGAAACTTGGTCATTTTACGTTTTTGAGGTCGCTGATTACGAACTTGTTATCAGATTTCCGAAATTCAAAATGCCGGATCCAATAGGCGGAACAAAAATGTTCAAAATCCTTCGATTTTGACAGAAATAAGTACATGGAGGATTTTGGGTCGCTGATCACGAATTTATCAGATTTCCGAAATTAAAATCCTAATAATATCATCAAAGTTAGCCATTTGGAGTCGCCATATTGGATTTGCCATTTTGAATTTTTTAATTTCAATTCTGTATTTGTCATTTATGATCGGAAAAACATATATATACCGAGTTTGGTACATATCCATAATATCATATCAATGTTAGCCATTTGAAGTCGCCATATGGAATCCTCCATTTTGAATTTTAAAATCTTGACTCCAGATTCGTAATCAGCGACTCAAAAAACCGCTATATACATAATCAGTTTTTTTTATTATTGCATAGAAACATTCGTACTTCAAAGAATTAAATAAATGAAAGAGAAACTTAATGCAATAAACAGCATATCTTTAACAAATTCTCTACAAATATTTTAATACTTGTAAGTAGAAAATATTGGGTCTGGGAAAAAGTTAGTGGTGTTTTTTTAGTAAAATTCAACTGGTTTTCTTATAGTGTGAAAATGAATTTATTTAAACCAAATATGCTCCATTATTATCGACAATGTTTCGCCATTTTACGGGTAGAGCCATGATGCCATCAGTGAAAAACTTCTGTGGTTGAAAAACTGAATCAAGTGGTTTTCACAGGCTTCTTTTGAAACCAGTTTAATTCCATTGAGAGAGTTCTGCAGAGATCGGAACAAGTGATAGTCAGAGGGTGCTATGTCTGGACTATACGATGGATGCATCAAAACTTCCCAACCAAGCTCTCACAATTTTTGACGGGTCATCAAAGAAGTGTGTGATCGGGCGTTGTCATGATGGAAGACAACACCTTTCCTATTATTCAATTCGGGTCGTTTTCTTTCAATTGCTTGGCGTAATCTCTCTAGTTGTCCACAGTAGAGTTGAGAATCAATCGTCTGACCAACTGGAAGTAGCTCATGGTGGACGATTCCCTTCCAGTCCCACCAAACACACAGCATCACTTTTTTCGGCGTCAATCCTGGCTTCACGAACGCTTGTGACGGTTCACCATCCCTTATCCACGATCTTTTACGCTTCCGATTGTCGTACGTGATCCATTTTTCATTACCGGTTATGACACGTTTCAGAAATGGCTCGATTTCATTGCGTTTCAGCAGCGCATCGCAGATGTTAATTTGGTCTATCATGTTTCTCGCGCTCAACTCATGAGGAGTTGAGCGCGAGAAACATACATCGAGCTTCTTTTTGTAGCTAGCTTTGTGTAAATGGTTCAAAACAGTTTTGTGGTCAATGCCTTACTGTCATTGTAGATCACGTTTTAAGGCTCATCTACAATGGCTGCAAGAATAAGGTTCTAAGCGTAAGCAGAAAAGGCTCGTTTACATTGGCTGCGTTCCGATATTCACTGCCAGTATTGAAAATATATACTTTATGTCACATATATTATAGATTTTCAATACTGGCAGTGAATATCGGAACGCAGCCATTAGCTGTAAGAGTAAAGCCCCTTGCACAATGCCAGGCAATAAGAATAAAATTAGACCAATCACAATAGATTATTCTTGTAATAGTCGATTGTGATTGGTCTATTTTTATTCTTATTGCTTGTTGCCTGGCATTATGCAAGGGATCTAAGGGCCAGAGCACAGACTTCTGCATAACGCATAATACACAACGCATAATGCCTCGTCTACAATGGGGTCGTAGAGTCATAAAATATAGTCGTAGAGTCGTGGCGGTAGTCGCTTGAGAGATCGTAATCGCTGTCGTTCAAGTTAGGATCGTCTACAATAGAGTCGTAAAGTCATAGAATACGGTCGTAGAGTCGTAGCAATGGTCGACTGAATACCTCGTCTACAATAGAAGTCATAGAGTCGTAAGTCGTACAAATTGACCAATCGCGGTCGATTATTTTTCTCTTACCGGACTATGATTGGTCAATTTCTACGACTTACGACTCTAAAGGCTCGTCTACATTAGCTGTAAGAGTAAGGCTGTAAGGTTGCAAGACACGAAATGAAATATTTTCATTCGCTGACAGCTTACGTTGCAGCCTTACAGCCTTACAGCCTCTTATAGCTATTGTAGACGAGCCTTACGACTTCTATTGTAGACGAGGTAGAAAGGTTATTTTCGATCGCAAAATACTTGCAAGCACAGTCGCTTGAGTTGGTTCCAATCCAATTTCAGCGATTATTGTAACGACTTGAGCTACAATAGACTAATCAGAGGAAAGATTTTATATATCACGCTATGTGACCAACGTGGGAAAATGATATCGGTGTGTGGACGGCACTTATTTATTCATTTTTGATAAAGTCACTTTCACAAATTTCATCAGTATCACAAGGATCAATGATAAAGAATTTATCAGCAAAATCGCCTACTTGCAATAAAAATTTTATTAATATTTCTGAAGGCAAATGATTGATAAATTACTATTTTCCACAGAAAACTTAATCATTAATTACATTCTTAACACTTCTAAATAAATTTCAGATAGCGAGAATATTGATCCAGCAAATAAGTATAACCTCAAAGTGCCTAAAACAGATATTAGAAAAAAAAAGAATATAAGTCTTGATATGAATTCTCTAATTATGGAATTATCACAGGCTGTTACTGCAGCCTGTTCAGCTTTGCCAGCATTGCTGAACAACTTCCACGCCAGATACAGAAGAAGAGAAAAGTATGGTGACAGTCTTATTACATGAAATAAAACTTGTACCTATGCAACAAAGAATAAAATGTTTTATCAAACTGTTGGAAATATTGGAATCATTTCAGCATGAGTGAATAATTATATAGTCATTGCTGATAGAAAATATTAAAAATATAATTATCCTAATATAGCATATGTTATAGGATTCTATATGGAATATTGTCAGCAATTAGCAGAGAAAGTTATGTAAATGTTATAAAATTGATCTGATTGGTATATATTTTTAAATTCAATCAAGATTAAAAGCATACCATCAATCAGATTCACGTATTTTTACATAGTTGCAAAACTTTCTTCTCTATATTCTCTATATAATAGTTGTACTGTTAAAAGAAGAAAACTCAATATGAATATTAAAAGTAATACTTTTATGGAATGTACAGTTTAATCATGAAACAGTAGCCTTGCTTTGTGGTATCAACAGATTTTCATAAGATATATCATCTTATATATCTCCTTTTTATATACCTTTTTATATATTTCCTTTTTCTAAGAAAAGGTCTGACAATATGGCACAAATAATCATATCGGAGGTGTCATTCGTGTCATACTAAAAAAATTTGTCATGATCTGTCTCATATACCTCTTTAAATTGTTTATTGAAATATCCTAAATAATCTCTGCTTCTATTTATAGGTCTTATCCACTATCTTCTTTGTCTTTTTCGTCTTAGATATAAATATATCGATATTAAATTCAAATGGTAAGCATTTAATAACAGAAATACTACAAATTGCACGGAATTCCATTATATTTCTATTTCAATAACACACATAAATCTAATCGATCATTCGTATTATTGTACGGGCAATATCCTGCTCTCTGATTGGTTTACACTCCATTTCAGCGACTAATTGAACTTTGTACAAGCATCGCCATAGAACTCAGCTCACGACTTTACGACCCCATTGTAGACATAGCATAAGGCTGTAAGGTTGCAAGACATGAAATGAAATATTTTCATTCGCTGACAGATTACGTTACAGCCTTACAGCTTTACTCTTACAGCTATTGTAGACGAGCCTTAAAATTTGACTATGAATACCGGCCTATGAATACGACCTTAACTTATTGCACTAGTTCAGCAGTGCAGCTATAAAGAACAAACCCTATGATCGCTCTCAAGTTTTTCTCTTCTTACGTATAGGCCACGTGTTGCATACGACGCATGCGTAGCATATGCATCTGAATCTAACCTTCCTAATCTTCTCAAATCGTCTCACTAGAAGTTCATTTATAGCATTGTGCGTTTTTGTGGGCGTTATGTTGTTTGATTGAGCGCAAAAATATTTCGCACATACTATTCCTGCAACATAAAATATTTAGCGAACGAACGAACTGAGCAGTTAGAAGGAAGTAAAGGAAAATCTTGTGCATTGTCGGAAGAAGGAATTATTACCGAGCCTTTCCGATGTGACTGTATTAAGCAATCAACGCACGCAATCACACATTGGCGTACATATTAACATTCGTACCCGTTAATCCGTCCATTCCTTTTACCCGTGAAGTATTTTACCGTGAACACGAATGCAATTTCATACTATATGTCGGATTATTTGAATGTGGGTATAGTAGACATTGAATTTGCGGCATCGCAACGTGTTGCCTAGTACATAAAATAAAGGAAAAGAATAAAAGTGTAAGTGTACACGAAAGGAGAGGGAAGAAAAAAGAGAGGGAGACATTGTGGCGATTCGTAGTTACTGACAATCGAGTGCGCTGTTGTGTCGTAATAATGAGTATGGATGAATACGAGAGTTTGCCGAACACCTCTGTAGCTGTGAACATGACGGCCGGTGCCGTGGCTGGGATTATGGAGCATTGTGTCATGTATCCTTTCGACAGTGTCAAGGTATTGTCGTGTTATTCTTTATTATGTACACGTTTTTCCGGTGCCGATCATGTTTCATACATAACCTCACCTTATCACACTACTCTACACCTCACTTCCTCTCACCCCTCCTCCCCTCTCCCCTTCTCTCACCTCACCTCACCTCATCTACTTCACTTCCTACATTACTCACATACCTAACCTTACATTATATTATCATCTGCGCACCAATGCTCCGTCCAGCGATTGCGACATTGGATAATTACCCTGGAACATCATAATGGAATTCCTGGATGTAGATTCGACTTAAATTTATCTTTGTCATGTTGCTATATAGTGGGTTTCCTACGACATTTTAGGAAAAACCATTTTATATGACTGCTTTTTCCTTCATGTTTTCCTGGAATTTGTTCCTCAGCATTGGATATTTTATCATTGTTTTTTATCTACTACAAATAAATGTACGCACGATAGAGGATTGACTCTTATTGTTTCGCAAATGAATGATTTTGAATAATTATTTGTAAGTTTTACTATCAGTGATATTGCCTCAGCATTTCTTACCATTAACTTTAAAATGTTTATACTGTAAGGAGAGACAATTAGTCGACAAGTGCGCAATTATATAATTATATAACATAATATATATACATACATACATAAGTATATATATATAGAGAAAGGAAAAAAGAGAAAAAGAATATAGAAATTAAATGTAAAACTTTATACAAATCCTTGTACCTTATACATTATATTTGTGGAAAAGGATACTTATATAATTATAATTTGGTATAATTATATACAGTCCATGTACAAATGTTGTTTACATGACAATATGTATACACACACACACACACACACACACACATACAATTATATGTCTACATGAAAAGAAGATTTTGTTGAATGAAAATAGAATTTAATTTAACTAAACATTGATATTATAGGCTGCTATAAACATATATATTTGTTTTAATTGTATTTGTGCAATGTTCTTTTTAGTATGAATATATATAATTATATATGATTATATATGACAATATAGAGTTACAATTCATTATTTTTCTCTGGAAGATTTGCTGTATATATGTTCTTATTACCATTAATTAATATAAAACATATAATATGTAATATGAAACATGTAATATGTAATATTTATAATAAAAATAGAATTTTAAGTCCATATTATAAATGAAAGAGGTTTTTTATCCTATAGACTTTGTGTTGATAATATATTTTTATAGTGGTTTTAATATACAAGGTGTTTCAAAAGTGGATGTTAGTTGTTTGGGAAGTGATTGGGGACCAAAAACAAGAAAAAAAGTTAGTATAAATATGGATCTGAACATGCATTGTTTTCGAATTATCACCATTTTGAAATTTTAAATCGCTTTGTTTTCAAATTTTTTTGTTAAAATTGAAAGAAGAGATGGTTTTTATTCTTTCTCAACTGTTCAACTTTTTTTCTTATTCTTCAATCCTTAATCATCTTTTGAGTAATTGCTCTTTACTTTTGAAATACTCTGTGTAACTTGATATATGCACACTGACAGTATAGGTTGAATATGTATATATGATATAAATAGATTATTAGAATTTCTGCATAATACGTATTCTGATTTTTATTTATTCATAATTTAAAGAAGCAGGAACAATGTCAAGTTAGTAATTTGTGTCTGTAATAGTTTTAAACATTAATATCAAGAAAAGAGTATATATAATTGTAAAATAATAATAACATAATTATATCTTATTCAAAATAATTTGCTGATTAGTGCATAGGAGATAAATAAAGTTAATTGTATATTTTCATGATTTAAAAACAAATGTAACAAATTGATAAAAATTCTATTTTGAATTTATTTGAGACAACAATAAATTTAATTATTGTTAAATATTCAATATTAACATATCCATTTGTATTTACGCATTACCATTGTTTGTTTAATGGTACAATGATATTAAATGCTGTCATCTCTTAGAATATGCAAATAATTAAGACAATCATTTGTTCTATGTTTAGTAGAAGTAACACAAGGGGCTACTATATATATATATATATATATATTTATACTTTTTATCAGACTGTGAGTATCTATTATTTCTTATGCAATACAGTTTGTCTGTCTGTATTGCAAGATTCTGTTTCTATCTTAAACTCTGATATATATTACTATATTTTCCTAAGCTAATATTTCAAGTTTTATATAAATTAATTATATGCAAGTAAAGTTATTTCACAACGTTAAAAATGTAAATGATGTTAGAGTAACATTTTATAATTATGATCAATTTAAATGATATTCCAGTTGCGAACATCAAAATTTTAAGTATTAAGCATTTAGTTAATATATAGTTATTTAGTTATATATAATTATATATATTTAATTAAGTTATATCTGTTTTATTTCCTATTTTTCTTTTATTTTATTTTGTGTACATATATATATATATATATGTGTATATGTATGTATCTGTTTAATTTATAATTTCATAAGTTGATTAAATATTGATTAAGATGCACTTGTTTGTACAAATAAAATCGAGTAATATCAGAATACTTTTTGCAATAATTTAGTTGATAGTTACTATTATTATTACTAGCAAGTTATATTATTTAAACGTCTTTATAACTTTTGATGATTGAAAGAACATCATGAAATTTACATTACAAAAAGATACTTGATGTTGTAAAAAATAAATTTTATCATTTATTAATTATTGTAAAAAATAAATTTCATCATTAATTTATTAATTATTAACATTTTAATAGCTATTTAATATTATATTAATTTAATAACTATTCCTACAATTAATGTTAATTTCTTATTTTTTAGACAAGGATGCAGGCACTAACACCTGGTCCAGGAGGAGGAGGAGTAGGAAAAGTATTATACAAAATGATACGACAAGAAGGTGTATTAAGGCCAATTAGAGGTGTAAATGCAGTAATTTTTGGAGCTGGACCTGCACATGCTTTATATTTTTCTTGTTACGAGAGTCTTAAAGACAAGTTCAAAAGTGCGAGACCTCCAATCAATCATTTTGTTTATGGAGCTGCTGGTTGTGTAGCAACAATTTTGCATGATGGCGTAATGAATCCAGCAGAAGGTTTGTTTAAAGATAATCAGTTAAATATAACCGATAATGTATTATTATTACTTAAAAAATAATAACTAATGTTATTGTTTAATGGAAATAAAGATATATTTTAGTGATTGTTATAAACTAAATATTAGCAATGTTTTCCTTGCAATATTATTCTTAGAAAAGATTGTTTAGAAAAAACTAAATAGCTTAAAGAAGATTTTAGTCTAGAAAACCTAAAATAAGATGTTTTTTTATTATTTTTATCTAAAAACTGAGACAAAATTGTCATGGGCTTTTAAGTATTGTATTTATTAATTTTTTGGGAATCTTTTTCTATAGTTTTTTTTATTTATTAAAGAAATGAAACTGGTTTAATTTTATATTATGCGATTCGGTTAAACATAAGAAAATTGCATATAAAATAGTAGTGCAACGATGAGACTAAAAGAATGAAAAAAAATCCCTAAATTTTATCAATTCTATTGGAGGATAAATCTAACTTTGCAAAAATCTAAATGCAAGAAGTTAAAAATTAACAAAATTACGATTTCGTAAATTAAGGCATCACTTTTATTTTCGTATTCTTTTATACCAAGGTTTTCCAACTTTTTTTGTATTTCGCACCCCTAAAAATTTATTAATGAACTTTTGCTCCCCTACAAAAAAAAAGTATTCGTGTGTTTCATGGTAAAAATTAGTTGTTAGAATTTTAAGGTAAGAAGTTAATTTATAATAATTTATTATTACATAGTATTGTTTTATAGAAATTAACTATCATTTTAATAAAATTATTATCTACAGTATTAAGCTTCGCATAGTGATACGTAATGAATATATACGTACAGATACGTAAAAAATATATAATTTTAATAACATTTTTTTTAATTTGATGGTAAAAATGCTGAATTATCCCAGAATTAATTTTAATCATTATTAATTACAATCACTTTTCCACGCACCCCCAAGAATGTTTTTTTGCACCCCTAGGGAGTGCGAGCACCCCCGGTTGGGAACCTCCGTTCTATACTAAGAAAAAACTTCAATTTTTGGAAATTTATATGTGTTTGTGATTCCAATAAAAAATCTAATAAATAAAAATACCTGTTTTAAAAACAAAAGAATCAAACCGATCGAGATAATAATTCGAAAGATATTTTGCCTTCAGATTTTTAGAAAATAATCATGAGAAAAATGCATTTAAACTTTTACAGGATTTTTAAGGATTATTTGTTTATTATTACAAAATTATTCATTTACTACTTAATTATTTAATTTATCACTTTAACTTTAACTTACTGCCTATATCAGAACCATATAACAATCCTTCAATATATTTGAAATACTTATTTCTATCTTTTTCTCCTAGTACTTTTTATTCTTCTAGTATTTTCTATCTTTTTCTTATATTTTAGCTGTTTTTGTTTATAGAAGAGTGATATTCAGATGTTTGCAATATTGATTCTTTCAGTCATTTTTTTCTCGACGTAACCTAAGAATTACTAGTACAACTAAGCATAAATATTTTTAATAACGGCAAATTTCTTTCATTAAAAATATTAGCTGCTATATATTCTGCTATTTTAATAACTTCTCAATCGAAAAATTGATGTTTTAGTGCGAACGACAATATACAAACATTAAATTTTTCGTCATTTTGTATATTGTTTGTACATCATTGTAATAATCCGATGTTGGATTTTTCTAAATAAGTCGAATAATATCCTGTACAACAACACTGAGTGTTTATTCATTTTCTGTTTTATAAACCTGACTATACATAACAACTCATAAGTTTCTTATTTTTGCAAAATTAATTTAATTTTAGGAAGACATTGTAACATGTTTTAGACATATTAAAAGTATATAAATTTAAAAGAAAATTTGATTTCTTCTAGGTCCTCTAAATTGGAGCTTCTTCCTCCATTATTGTTTTGATGTATTGAATTAAGAAAACAATTTATCATAAAAATTTATAATCATTTTCTACAAAAATAATTTGACATAAACATACACAGAGTGGGCCATTTTAATGTCTTACCCCAATTTCTCTTTCCCTGTACCTTTTACAAAAAAATTATTTGTACAAAAGTTTGACCTCAAGGGAGGCACATAACAACAATATCAATTTATTCTCAAATGGTGTTATTTTGGAGAAATTCACTAATGATTACTTTTCTTAAATAGAAATTGATTTTTTTCTTTTAATAAAAGTTGTAGCTCTCATCAAGATAAATCCAATGTATATTTGTTCAGGATTTTCTTCATGTTATACAATTCTACAGGTTATACAATCTTTTTAATTTTAGAAATTAGTGTTTCGCAAAGATGTGAAGAGATGTTTATAAATCAGATGTAAGGTCTTCTTAGACGCATTTTAGTAGATTGTTTTTTTACTTTTGCACAAATTTCTTATAAAATTTATGTCTTTGATTAGTTGATTATAAAACTAATGTCGAATATAACATTTTTATAATTTTTCGGAAATTGATGGTTTAGATCATAATTCTAATTTTTTATTTTTTTCTATCCATCTATGTGTGGAGTTGGTGAGAGCAGTGATTTCCTTCACCTCTCATTCGGGATGTTTTTTTAAAATAAGTCACTTTATTTTTGAGCTTTTTGGCTCACTTATTTTTCACCAAAACCCATTTTGATGTTTTTTAAAATGAGTTTTCTAGTCTCTCACTTTGGTGGAGGTGCTTTTCTTAAAGTAAGTTCTCTTATAGTTCCTCTCATATTTGGGAAATTTGAAAAAGCACCTCAGTTTCACATTGATAAAAAAAATAAAAATTAGAATTCCAATCTATTAAAACATCAATCTCAGAGAAATTAAGAAAATGTCATATTTGAGTTTTGTAATATATTGATTAAATAATTTTATGAATTTTACATATAATTATAAATAATAAATTTTTAATAATAAAAAGAATCACAAATTTTACAAGGAAAAATTTGCGCGAGGATAGAAAACAATCTACTAAAATGCGTCTAGGAAGACCTTATATATAATTTATAAGCATCTTTCTACATCTTTGTGAAACACTAATTTCCAAAATAAAAAAAAATCGTGTAACTCATCGAAAAATAAAGAAAACCTTAAACAAAGATATATGATTAGATTTATTTTGATGAAAGTTACAACTTTTATTCAGAGAAAAATATCGATTTCTATTTAAGAAAAGTGATCATTAGTGAATTTCTCCAAAGTGGCTCCATTTGAGAACGAATTGATATTGCTCTCTTGTATCTCTCTTAAGGTCAAACAACTTTTGCACGAATAATTTTTTTGTAAAAGGTACAAGAAAAGAGATATTTGGGATGGGACATTAAAATGTCCTATCCTATATGTGTGCGTGTGCGTGTGTATGTGCGTGAGATGAGGGTTTAAGAAATAAGTAGCCAAACTTTAAGAGCATATTCTACTAACTATAAAGATAAGAAAAGATTAATGTAAACGGGAACTCAGGAACGCTTCTTTTCTAAGTTATAAAAACTTTATTTACGACAGAATTTAATAAAAATATTTTATTAAAGAAATTCTTGAAAATTATTTTTTTACGCATCAATGCATGTCTCGCATCTACATGGATTGTCGAAGATGTTTAAAAATTCCCGGACTATTTTATAGTTTATCACACGAAGTGATAATACGATTTCGAGTATTTCTGCACAAACAACAGAAATTTCATAAATGAGAGTCTTAAGATGTCCCCATAAAGGGAAATCCGTTTCTATAAAAGTAAATTAAAATCAAGTGATCGTGCAAATCGAGCGATGAGTACTCCTTTGCTAATATATCTATTGATGTAATTATTATTCAGAAGCTTTTGAGTAATATAACTGAAATATGCTCGAGATGTGCTTAATGAAAAATGTTTATAACTTAAAAAAGAAGCATTCCAGGATCTGTATTTATGTGAATTTTTTCATCCTTCATCCTACATTGAATATGCTCTTAAAGTTTGGCCACTTTTTTCTGAAACACTTTGAATAGTTTAAGAAATAAAATAAAAATTCATTACTTCAATCTTAAGATCTTTTAAGTAAATTAGTTTTTTTATTTCTATAAAAATTATGACTTGTAATTGCTCCATTATTTTAGTTGGAATTAAATCATTTTAAATTCGTACGTTTATTTTGGGCAAAATAATTTAATTCGTTTTTACCTATTTTTAATTATATGTTTAGAATATTTTTGATTAAAAAAATGCTTAATTAACCCTAATTTACTATTCTTCAAACAGTTACACATACACAACGTTACACAACGGTTATCGGATCCGACTTAAACGAATATTTTGTGGTTTCTTGAACTAATTTTACTAATTAGACATTTTATTCTAATGAGAAATTAGAAAATATTTCAGAGAATTGATTACAATGAGAATTTTTGTTTTTATTTTTTGACCCTTATACTAACATGTATTTTACATATTCTTTTTATGTTTTATTGTACTTTAAAAATTGGTTGTAGAAAATTGTTGATGATTTTATCTACCATAATTGAGTGATATCAGAGTACTATTGTAATAAAACATGTATTTTATGTTTTATTTCTAATTTTAATATTAATGTCTTATTTGTTTATTAAATTAAATTAAATATTTATAGAACATAAGTTTATTTCTTTTTATTTCAGTATTACACTTTATTTTATTTTACATATTATTCTTTCGTAACGAAAACTAATAATTAAAGGAGGATGTGTAAAAGTCGTCGATATTTTTGGCTGGCAAGTGAAATTTATATATATTTTTTACAATTTTTAGACTGCAGAATCACATGGTGTAATTAATTTTCTATAAACATGAAAGGAATATAAATTAGGAAGTAAATTTGAGTTAACATATTAAGAAATTATAGAAAAAATATAATATAAATCTATTTAATAGATTAATGTTATTTTGTTACAGTAGTCAAGCAGCGGTTGCAGATGTATAACTCCCCTTATAGAGGGGTATTAAATTGTATACAGAAGGTATACCAAAAAGAAGGGATATCTGCATTTTACAGAAGCTACACTACTCAGCTGGCCATGAATGTGCCTTTCCAAACTATTCATTTTATTTCTTATGAATTCGCACAGTCCATTACTAATCCAGATCGTATCTATAATCCAAAAGCACATATCCAATCTGGTAAGCCATTCTACTGTTTATAATGTAAATGTTCTAATATGCATCTAATATGTTAAAAAAGCAAATATGTAATAATATATTTTTATATAATGTTATATACAGACATATGTATATACTTTGCAATGAGTATAAAACAATCTTAATTTTAAGATAACATTTATTTAAATAATTTGTTATTTGTTTTTAATATAAATATGTAAATTTATTTAATTTCTGAAAGTAGTTCAAAAAATACACAATTTTTATATAATTAATAAATGGAAGTAGGAATTGCACTTTGACAAAATTATAATTTCTAAATAATTTTAATCTAAATATATACGTAATAATTTTAAGCATATAGGAAACGTAATTCATTAAACATATTCTATAACATTTTAATAGCATATATGATATTATAATTTTTTCATAGATACGGTTTTTATATTCTAAGAGTTTAGAAGTTTAAAAATACTCGTTCAGGATTTAAAGTTAAAATTAAAAATTAATAAAGTACAATCCACTTTTATAGAGAAAAAAAGTTTTATTTTAGAAAGCTTAAAACAAGTTTTCTATGATTTTTTTTGTTTTTTTAAACTTGATATAGAGTTTTAAGAACTGTACTTATTAATACTTAAAAAAATATAAGGCATGCTTTTATATAAAAAGAAAAAAATGAATCAATTTAGATCAATTCTACATTATATGGTCAGGCAAGACATGAAAGTTACGAACAAAATTGTGATTAAGTGCAGAATTTGGAATACAAATAAAAATTCAAAATTTTATTAATTTTATTAGAAGATTAACTTAATTTCAGTGCAAAAAGTTAAAAATATTGAATGTTTAGAAATACTACTGTATTAAAAAAATTGCGGTTTTTTTTTTCAGTAATTCAGTAATCCAGTAAAATAAGTTATAAAAGCTATATAGGATAGGCCAAATTGGTTTGTTCATATTCATTTTTTTAATAAGTTATTTGGTGATTTGGTATAAAAAGTCTTTAATTGATCAAATATTGGATAAATGCAAAAGTTTGTGCCCGATTCCAATAAATGTTATTAGGATAGTTGTATGGTAAGCATTATTGATTACACAGGCACACAAAAAAAAATTGCTTGTTCGCTAGACTACACCACCATACCTATATGTTTTCGGGGTTGCTGAATCCGAATCCGTTGTCCGTTTTATCCCACACGTCAGGTTTCGCCTCTAACCTCAAAAAATACCTCAGAATCGCTAAAATAGCGTTTTTAAAGCTGAACAGTGAACACTGGCGACAGAAATCTGTAGACAATAGACTACTTACGTTTTTGGGGATATTAAATTTGAATTTTGAAGTCGAATCAATCTTAAAAGGTTAGAATTTCTTTCCAACTTTAAATATATCACAATTCTCTATTCATTTTTTCCTATTGTATCTAACTCTTTTACTCACAAAAAATCTATGAAGAGGCTTTCTTTTACGTTTGATTCGAATCACCTGACGTGATGAGGTAAAACGGACAACGGATTCGGATTCAGCGACCCCGAAAATATATAGGTATAGGGGTGTAGTCTAGCGAAAAAGCAACTTTTTTTTTGGTGTGCCTGTGTTATTATGTATACATATTATACATTGTTAGAAAAATGATATATTCAGTTGCTATTTGAGTGAAAGACTTGTGTGTTTATTGAATTTACATAGTGGAAAGAAAAACAAAACTTTGAAGATGAACGAAGAAAATTGTATTATAAATGTATTTACCGCATGTTATGCTTTATGACATTTGGAAGGCTGTAACAGTTGGAATCGTCATAAAAAAACATTCAAAATGTCTATCATGACTATGTACTAGTAATTTGAACTGGTTTATGAAGTTTAGGTGATTTTACCTCTATTAAGTTAGCCCCCTCCACATCGAAAATAAAATATCTATTAAGTGCAAAATTAAGTGCTAATTAGGTGCTAATTAGGTGCTACAATCCCGAATTTGGTGCTCGCGCGGTTTGACAGAAAAAAAATAAAATAATGGGCGGGGCTAGCTTAACGTTAACTTAGCCCCCCCCCCCAAATAAGAAAAACGTACAACCAACACGTAAAATCGAAAACAAATTATGTTAAAATTAGGTGCTAATTAAGTGCTTCAAGAAACAATTTACGGATATTAAAAATATATCGCCGTTCAAAAGTTATAACAAAATAAATATGTCATCTCAACGATGACTGTCCAAGAGAGAACTTATATTATAAAATTAGGTGCTCTCGTGGCTATGGTATCAAATTACACGTCCCTTTACGCACTGTCGAGATACCCAAGCGCCGAATTAAATGCTCGTCTCGTTTTGCAAAAATTCGCACTTAAACGTCGGCGGGCCATGCAGGTGACAAGAGAAGACCTGTCTTAAAAAATTAGATGCTCTCACGATATGGGTCTCAAAACACTCGTTTTTTATGCATTGCTTAGATATTCGAACGCCGAATTAGGTGCTCGTCCCGTTTTGCAAAAATTCGCACTTAAACGTCAGCAGGCCATACAGGTCACAAGAGAGAACCTGTCTTAAAAAATTAGGTGCTCTCACGATATGGGTCTCAAAATACTCGTTTCTTTATGCATTGTTTAGATATCCAAACGCCGAATTAGGTGCTCGTCCCGTTTTACAAAAATTCGCACTTAAACGTCGGCTGGCGATACAGGTTACAAGAGAGAACCTGTCTTAAAAAATTAGGTGCTCTCACGATATAGGTCTCAAAACACTCGTATTTTTATGCATTGTTTACATATCCTAACACCGAATTAGGTGCTCGTCCCGTTTTGCAAAAATTCGCACTTAAACGTCAGCAGGCCATGCAGGTCACAAGAAAGAACCTGTCTTAAAAAATTAGGTGTTCTCACGATATTAGTCTCAAAACACTCGTCTTTTGATACCTTGTCGAGATATCTAAATGTTGAATTTGGTGTTCGTGTTTGGCACAAAAAAAATAAAATAATGGGGGAGCTAGCTTAACGTTAACGCAGCCACCCCCAAATGAAACAAACCTTTAACCAACACGTAAAACCGAAAACCAATTATGTCAAAATTAGGTGCTAATTAAGTGCGCCAAGAAACAATTATGAGATATTAAAAATATAACGCCAATCAAAGTTATAACATAAAAAATATATCATCTCAGGGATGACTATCCAAGAGAGAACTTATATTATAAAATTATTATTATTTATTATATTGTCTGTTATGTAATGTCTATTTATTTTTAAAACCATTGCTTTTCCATATATGCGTGGGCCATTTTGACACATTATTTATTCCAGTTGCTTATCATTTTTGAAAAAATGTTTCTATTAAGTTATTTCCTCCGTGGAATTGGACAATTTTTGTTAAAAAATGTTTTCCTAATCATAATCGACTGGATTGGGTAATTATTAAAATGATTCAACTTATATATATATATTTCATTACAAATCATATGTACCAAAGACATATGTAATATTTCTTTAGTACATATGATTTATAATGAAATATATATATATATAAGTTGAATCATTTTAATAATTACCCAATCCAGTCGATTATGATTAAGAAAACATTTAACAAAAATTATCCAATTCCACGGAGGAAATAAAAACTTAATAGAAACAATTTTTCAAAAATGATAAGTAACTGGAATAAATAGTGTGTCAAAATGGCCCATGCATATATGGAAAAGCAATGGTTTTAAAAATAGGCATTACATAACAGACAATATAATAAATAATAATTTTATAATATAAGTTCTCTCTTCGATAGTCATCCCTGAGATGATATATTTTTTATGTTATAACTTTTGATTGGCGTTATATTTTTAATATCTCATAATTGTTTCTTGGCGCACTTAATTAGCACCTAATTTTGACATAATTGGTTTTCGGTTTTACGTATTGGTTAAAGGTTTGTTTCATTTGGGGGTGGCTGCGTTAACGTTAAGCTAGCCCCCGCATTATTTTATTTTTTTTCTGCCAAACTACGTGAGCACCAAATTCAACATTTAGATATCTCGATAAGGCATCAAAAGACGAGTGTTTTGAGACTAATATCGTGAGAATACCTAATTTTTTAAAACAGGTTCTCTCTTGTGACCTGTATGGCCTGCTGACGTTTAAGTGCGAATTTTTGCAAAACGGGACGAGCACCTAATTCGGCGTTTGGATATCTAAACAATGCATAAAGAAACGAATGTTTTGAGACCCATATCGTGAGAGCACCTAATTTTTTAAGACAGGTTCTCTCTTGTGACCTGTATAGCCTGCTGACGTTTAAGTGCGAATTTTTGCAAAACGGGACGAGCACCTATTCGGCGTTCGAATATCTAAGCAATGCATAAAAAAACGAGTGTTTTGAGACCCATATTGTGAGAGCATCTGATTTTTTAAGACAGGTCTTCTCTTGTCACCTGCATGGCCCGCCGACGTTTAAGTGCGAATTTTTGCAAAACGGGGCAAGCACTTAATTCGGCGCTTGGGTATCTCGACAGTGCGTGAAGAGACGTTTAATTTGATACCATAGCCACGAGAGCACCTAATTTTATAATATAAGTTCTCTCTTGGACAGTCATCGTTGAGATGACATATTTATTTTGTTATAACTTTTGAACGGCGATATATTTTTAATATCCGTAAATTGTCTCTTGAAGCACTTAATTAGCACCTAATTTTAACATAATTTGTTTTCGATTTTACGTGTTGGTTGTACGTTTTTCTTATTTGGGGGGGGCTAAGTTAATGTTAAGCTAGCCCCGCCCATTATTTTATTTTTTTTCTGCCAAACCGCGCGAGCACCAAATTCGGGATTGTAGCACCTAATTAGCACCTAATTAGCACTTAATTTTGCACTTAATAGATATTTTATTTTCGATGTGGGGGGGAGGCTAACTTAATGGAGGTGGTGATTTTCATCTTTACAACTAGCTACAATCTAGTTGATCTTCTGGCATAGATGATATTGTGTGCAATTTCGTGTAAAATAATTCACGAATTTCAACAGAAGAGGTTGCTGAGAGATTCAATATTAACAGATCAACAGCATTTCGACATTTAAAAAGAATTAAATTTGAAGCTTGATGTGTGGATGTGCATTTTCTAATTGAAGTGAACAAATTGAATCAAGTTTCTGTAGCTACTTTCTTGCTTGGCCGACTAAAGAATCATTTTTGTATCGATTGGTGATTGGTGATAAAAAATGGATCCTATATAGCAATATTCATTTAGACAATGCACTTAGAAATAAGTACTTGGAAATAAGCAACATACAGAATCCATGGCAAAAGCCAATTTGCATCCTGAGAAGGTGATGCTTTCTGTTTGATGGGTTTGTGAAAGAATAATTTATTTTGAGCTACTTCCAATTAACCAAACGATCAATTCCGACAAGAACTATCAACAATTAGACAATTTAAAGACAGCAATCTAGGAGAAGCGTTCAATTTTAATCAATCGTAAGGGAATCTTTTTTCACTACAACATCAAGAGACACACCGTGCCTTCATGCGAAACTGCGAGTTGAAACGAAATGAGATATTCATATTTCAGCAATGGCTGAATAGACCGAGGTTCTTTTAGTGTCAATCGATTTAGTCTTAAAAAACAGGAAGAAAAATATTCTTGTATTTTTTTGTACGTTGTCTCTAAGTGAAGATATTTATTTTAAAAAAGATAAAGTCCGAGTCACGGGAAATTTCGATTCAGTAAGAAAGTAAGACAGAAACGCTAGACGCACAGGAGAGAGGATTTGTGCACCTCGCTTTTCTGACACTAGAGGCGTTATAAGCGCGCTGAAGAAGCAGCAAGTGCGAGTGAGCAAGCGAGAGAGAGAGAGAGAGAGGGGGGGGGAGAGGGAGAATTTTATATATTTTACATTCATGTGGAATTTCAAGTTAAAATAAAACTATTCTGTACCGCGCTACAAATGTAATATATGTCGATATATTCAAGTTAATTTTAACAAATATATTATTAATATTCAAGACATTTGAATGTTATCATGACGTATCTATTTTAAGAGTATTTTACATTAGACTATATTTGTAAAGAAATGGTTTACATTTTACTATTGTATGCGTTTTAGACATTTTAATATTAGAGGAATGTTTCACCGATAAACGATGTGATATATGTTTCATATATTTACACGATGAATATATGAAATAAAATATATTAATAGCTTGCGCGCATCACAAATTTATCGTTAGTTTTTGGTACAGTCGCGCCAAGATTGTTTGCATTAAATATTTTTTATTACATTGTACAACTAATTTGTTATAATAACAAGTAAAATAACCATTAACTCAGTATTTTAATAAATAATGAAATACAAAATGTCTGTCAAATGTTACACGAATTATACCAGAAAATACAAAATGTCTGTCTGTTAAAACAAAGCAGGGAATTTTTGAAAGAATTCGCATTTTTATGGTACGAAGATGTGAATCGTGTATAAAAATAGAAGGAAGACATGTAGAAAATGTGTAAACGTTGTAAGCACCAGAAGCGAATCGTTTACTTTAATTAAAAGAGAATATTATTTAGCCTTAGAGTCCTGAAGTTTTTTTTTAAATATTCTGTATAAGCATCTTCCAATATTACTTATTTTGTTTTTTTTCTTTTAGTATTTTAGCTGCTTTTGATAGACAGAGAAGAGTGACACTTAGATATTCGCAACGTTAACTTTTCTGTCGTTTTTTGTTTTTTTCTTTTTTGCAAAAATTTCTACTTGTTTTCTACCTAGTTGCGCTAAGTCCACTAGCGCACAACTAAGCACTATGAACATACTTAACAATGACAAATATCTTTCAGTAAAAGTACTAGCTGCCATCCCACTATTTTTGTAACTTTGCCATGGAAAACAGAGAAATAGTTTTAGCGTAAACGACTAGATATAGGAATTAGATCTTTTGTTATTTTGTATATTATTTGCCTATATATCGCTATCATAAATCACTTGACATTAGATTTTCATAAATAAGTCAAATAATGTCTTGTACAACAACACTAAACGGAGAATTGTACTTATTCATCTTTTGGACGCATTTTTTATTCTGTAAATTTGACTATACATAATATCCATAAGTTTCTTATTTTTACGAATTTTGGAAAACATTCTAACGACATATTCTAGACGTATAAAATAATATAAAATAAAAAAGATATATAAAAAGTTGAGTTTATAGATTTTCTAAACTAGAAATCTACTCGCTCCTAATAATTTATATTCTTCAAAGCATTTAGAATGCGATCCATTTGCAATAATGATATTATATATGCTGTTAGAATGCTTCGAAATATTTCTAATAAATATTATCTTTTAAATTATAAATAAGAAAATCGTAAAAATATAACGATTTTTATTGACATTTATATTGCAAATAAATCGACTTCAAATTGGTTGAAGAATTTACCGTTAAATTTTTCTAAACTTTATGAAGAACACCATGTACATAAATATTTTTTAAGTGTTAGAAGTATTTTAAAAAATATTAGTTAATATTATTCAAATATTATTTGTGATAAAATATAAGTAAAACTTAAAAATATTTGTGACTTTACAAGGCGCAGCGGCGGGTGCGATTGCAGCTGCTGTAACAACTCCTCTGGATGTTTGTAAGACAGTGCTAAATACACAACAAGATGGCGCTAAAGCTCAAGGAATGATAGATGCATTTAGGCAGGTTTATATGCACGGCGGTATAAAAGGATACTTTCGTGGTTTATGTGCTCGTGTTTTATTCCAAGCACCAGCCACTGCCATTTGTTGGATGATGTAAGTTAATTATTTTTATATTTGTATTTTTAGTTTTATTATTATTATTAATTTTGTTATTTTATTGCTATACCATCCATTGCTTTGTCTTTAGTTACATCATGTAATACTTTTAAATTATCTTATATGACAGATACGAATCATTCAAGTATACATTACAAGGCAAACAAGGCAAACAAGATAAGGAACGCGACGGCACCGATATAGATAATGGCGCGAACGGAATTAATCAGAATTCTCCAACACTTGCATCAAGATCTAATAACTTTCAAGGCGCAGGTCTGTACTTCAACAATCACACCTCGTCACCTGTATTACTTAAAGTGACTACGAGTTAGGCATGTGGAAAATTACATTAACGATAAGCAGTGGTTTGAGAGAAAGAGAATAAGTGAAGGGCAAGAAAACATAGAATTATATAGAAGAGGAAGATAATTATATAAATTATATAGAAGAGAAGGAAAAGAAAAGAAAAGGTTATCATGTTTTCTACACTACGAAAGTTTAATGACAATGACTAGTATTGTGTTTATTTATTATACGGCAGCATTTCTACATGTGTATAAATTTCGAAATAAAAAAATTCGATAATTATGGAAAAACAGTGCCGAACAGACATCGAACGAGTCTTATTAAATAGGCATAACAGATAATTTCTTGAATAATGATTATTACCGTATTGCTTCATAAGTAACATTAAATTTATATTCTGAAGCACATGATCCCTTATATTATAATTTATATCTGACTTTCACTGTTTGTTGGTTCTGAACTCTAATGAAAATGATGTATTTTAACATGCAACACTGCAAATACAAGAAGAAACTTTATTTTATCACGCTTTATATTTTTAAAACTTTTAATATATGTATGTATGTATGTATGTGTATATACAGGATGCCGAATTTAAAATTTACAGTGCTATATTTCGCAAACCGATGATTTTATTAAAAAATGTTTCGAACAAAAGTTGTAGGGTTCAGAGGAGGACATCTGACAGTGACCTTGGCTTGATCTTGGATTCTCGTTTGAGGGTCACGTAAAGGTCAACTTTAAAATTCTAAATGGAACCCTACATTTTTTATTGCATATTCTTGTCGAGACGTTTTCAAAACACTACCTATTTTTTGTTTTCTACCTAAGCCATTTCCAAGAAATGAAACTTTAAAGTTGACATATCGCCGACATTCGCATTACCCGATGTACACCGCGGGGAGGTTGCTCGGATTTGTACATCATAATGGCCCTAAAAAGGGTTGATTTTGTGTGTGTGTGCGCGCGCGTGTGTGTGTGTGTGTGTGTGTGTGTGTGTGTGTGTGTGTGTGTGTGTGTGTGTGTGTGTGTGTGTGTGTGTGTGTAGCTCATTCATCATAGATGTTCGAAAACGCCGCCATCGACAGCTCGGCACATTCGAACACGCTTTTCGAAATTTTCGACGAGTTTCAGAAGAACGTTTGCTGGAATCGCTCGGCACGCATTTCTGATGCGATCCATTATATTCTGCCGCGTTGTTGGCGATTGACGGAATATTGCATCTTTCAAAAATCCCCACAGATAAAAATCCGGAGGAATAAGGTTGGGTAATCTTGTTGGCCACCAAACTGGACAATCTTGACCTATCCATCGATAAGGGAAAGTGGTATCGAGGTGATTCCCGAAGGAAAGTAAACTATGATGTACAAATTCGACCGAGCAACCTCCTCGCGGTGTACATCGGGTAATGCGAATGCCGGCGGTATGTCAACTTTGAAGCTTCATATTTTGAGAATGACTTAGGCAAAAGTAAGTAATTTGAAAACGTCTCGACAACGGTTATAAGAATATGCAATAAAAAATGGGAGGTTCCATTTGGGATTTAAAATTTTTTACCTTTACATGACCTTCAAACGACAATCCAAGGTCTAGCCAAGGTCACCGTCAGATGTCCCCCTCTGAACCCTACAACTTTTGTTTAAAACATTTTTTATAATAAAATCATCGGTTTGTGAAATATACTACAACCTATAAACTTTAAAAAGAACACTATAAACTTTAAAATTGGACACTCTGTATATATATATGCAGGGTGTTAGAAAAGTCTGGAAACGGTCAAATATCTCAAAAACGAAACATTTCTGAGAAAAATGTTTCCAACCAAAGTTGTAGAGTTTTAAAAGTTCTATTGAATGATCATATGCGTTTGACCTTGAGTGGAGAGATCAAAGCGAAGTCAAGTCCAACATGATTTTTTTAAATAAAACACCTCATTTTTATTACATAGTGTTAAAGATGACAGCGAGACGTTTCCAAAACTCTACTTGATGACCTATTTTTGTTGAGAATTGTCTGAGTTCTGAGATTTAGAATTTACGGTGCCGTCAGCATTAGTATTATCCAGGATGTACCGCGTGGAGGTTGCATGGTCGGACTTTACACTTGGCTGTGTGTGTGTGTGTGTGTGTGTGCGTGTGCGTGCGTGTGTGTGCGTGTGCGTGTGCGTATGCGTGTGTGTGCGTGTGCGTGTGCGTGTGCGTGTGCGTGTGCGTGCGTGTGCGCGTGTGCGTGTGCGTGTGCGTGTGTGCGTGTGTGGGTGTGCGTGTGCGTGTGTGTGTGCGTGCGTGCGTGCGTGCGTGCGTACGTACGTATGTAGACGGGTTTTTATTGAATTAAGTGTTTAAATTGTTTTTCGTCTACTGTTCGACAATGACCTAATCGTAGGTGAAATTTATTTAAAACGTTTTGTCTCATTTATGGTGAGATAAGATTTACTTGGTGTAGTATGCGTCCCCTACGGTCTGCCAAGCAGGTTTCGTTGCGTACACATTATAATAAATTATTTATAAATTGTCATTAGACTTACAAATCATTTGTAGGATCTCATTCTCTCCTTATTCTTCGATAAGGAAGATAGCACAGACGTGATCTCCACATGTAGTATCTCCAAAAAAATATGTCGACGGGTTTTTGGTTATCGGACCCTTCTTTATCAAAGGAAATTTAAATGCGAACATTTATCTAGATTTATTGCAAAATTAAATAGTTCCTGCTATTGACAATTTGTTTGACGGAAATATACAAAATATTTGGTTTCAGCAAGATGGTGCACTGCCACACTGTACAGTAGTAGTGCGTCAATTTTTAACTGATATTTTCCTAAACCGATGGATAGGAAGACGTGGAAAAATAGAGTGGCCCTCTAGATCACCAGATCTTTCCCCATTGGACTACTTTTTATGGGGGTATGTTAAAAACAATGTGTGCGCAACGAAACCTGCTAACTTGGAAGAACGTAGGGAACGCATACTGCACCAAGTAAATCTGATCTCACCAGAAATGAGACGAAACGTTTTAAATGAATTTCATCTACGATTAGGTCATTGTCAAGCAGCAGACGGAAGACAATTTGAACACTTAATTCAGTAAAAACCCATCTACATACACACGCACACGTGCGCGCGTGCACACACACACACACACACACACACACAGCAGAGAGGGTTTGGAGTCATTAAATACTGTGGGAGTGACGAACCGCGGGGTCCTTATCTCTGCTGATACACACACACACACAGAGGGGTGTAAAGTCCGACCATGCAACCTCCACGCGGTACATCCTGGATAATATTAATGCTGGCGGTAAATTCCAAAGCTCATATCTCAGACAATTCTCAACAAAAATACGAGGGCGATCCGATAAGTACTTAGCCTCACCGCCCGATGGCGCCACTATCGCAAGAGAAATTTACTATCGTGTAGTACATTCTCGTAGACGGCTACTGTCGAAATTTCAGCCGAATCAGACTCGTAGTTTTGTTTTGACCGCGTGTGGAAGCGGGCGTATCCGCGGATTTTAGAAAAATGGAAAAAGAGCAATATCGGTCGGTGATTCGATTCTTGTTTTTGGAAGGGAAATCGCGCAGCGAAATCAAAGAGCGCTTGGATGCTGTGTACGGTGACTCTTCTCCTTCGATGGCGACCGTCAAAAATTGGTTTAACGAGTTTCAACGTGGTCGCACGTCGGTTTTTGATGAGCCACGCCCAGGTGCCCCGAAAACAGCTACCACGGAGGATAACATGACAAAAATCCACGATCTCGTATTGGCAGACCGCCGATTGAAGGTACGCGAGATAGCTGAGACAGTAGGCATCTCAAAAGACCGCGTGGGTCATATCCTGCATGAAATTTTGGGCATGAGGAAGCTGTCGGCGCGATGGGTGCCGTGTTTGCTCACTCCGGACAACAAGCGCAACCGTGAGACCACTTCAGAGCAGTGTTTGACGCTGTTTAAGCGCAATCCGAAGGAGTTTCTGCGTCGTTTCGTGACCGTCGACGAAACATGGATCCACTGGTACACACCAGAGACCAAGGAACAGTCGAAACAGTGGACTTCACCCGGCGAACGTGCTCCGAAGAAGGCGAAGACCTATCGGCCGGAAAGGTGATGGCCACCGTTTTTTGGGATTCACAAGGTGTGATCTACATCGACTACCTGGAGAAGGGCAAAACGGTCACAGGGCTGTACTATGCCGAATTATTGGGCCGATTCGACGCCGAATTGCAGAAAAACGGCCCCATTTGGCGAAGAAAAAAGTGCTCTTCCACCATGACAACGCACCGGCTCACACCTCCGCCCTCGCCACGGTCAAATTAGTCGAATTGGGCTACGAACTGCTGCCCCATCCACCGTATTCTCCAGATTTGGCCCCGTGCGACTTCTTTTTGTTTCCAAACTTGAAAAAGTCACAGGGCAAAAGGGCAGAAATTTGAGTCGAGTGAGGAGGTCATCGCCGCCACGGAGGCCTACTTTGCAGACCTCGAGAAAACGTATTTTTCAGACGGGTTAAAGAAGTTGGAGCATCGCTGGGTCAAGTGTATCGAGTTAAAAGGAGACTATGTTGAGAAATAAATCGCCACTTTTCCAAAATTTTCGTTTTTCTTTTGTAGGCTAAGTACTTATCGGACCACCCTCGTAGATCATCAAGTAGTGTTTTGGAAACATCTCGCTCATCTTTAACACTATGTGATAAAAAATGGGGTGTTCCATTTAAAAAAATCATGTTGGCCTTGACCTCGTCTTGACCCCTCCACTCAAGGTTAAACGGATTTGATCATTCAATAGAACTTTTAAGACCCTACAACTTTGGTTGGAAACATTTTTCTCAGAAACGTTTCGTTTTCGAGATATTTGCCCGTTTCTAGACTTTTCTAACACCTTATATATATATATATATATATATATATGTATGTATACAAGATATTTCATTTTAAGTGATATGGTCGATTATCTTGCGAATCGATGATTTAATTGAAAAATTTTTTGAACAAAAGTTGGATGGCTTGAAGGAGAACACATGATGGAAATGTGGATTTGACATTGAGTGACCTTGTCAAAATCAGGTTAAGGTCATTAATGTTTTTTTAAATGGAAACCTCTATTTTTTATTACATATTCTTGTAGCTTATCTCGAGAGCTTTCCAAAACACTATAATAAAATTATGTTTCATTGAGTACTTTCCGAGTTATGAGGCTTGAAAGTTAAGGCAAGACCGATTACTGATTTGGCCAACTAAGACAAGACTGATCACTGACCCGGCCAACTAAAGCAAGATCAATCACTGATCCGGCCAACTAATCCGTGATTAGTGATCGATCTTGCCTTAGTTGGCCCAATTAGTGATCGGTCTTGCCTTAATTTTTAAGCCTCATAATTCGGAAAGTACTCAATGAAACGTAACTTTATTATAGTGTTTTGGAAAGCTCTCGAGATAAGTTACAAGAATATGTAATAAAAATAAGGGTTTCCATTTAAAAAAAACATTAATGACCTTGACCTGATTTTGACAAGGTCACTCAAGGTCAAGTCCACATTTCCATCATGTGTCCCCCTTCAAGCCATGCAACTTCCGTTCGAAAAAATTTTCAATAAAATCATTGATTCGCAAGATAATCATATCACTTAAAATGAAACTGTATATACAGGGTGGGGGGTTATAAGTTTACAACCCAAAGTGTGAAGGTAGATTGGGTTAAGACAAACATAAAAAAGTCCTATACCGTTTTGCGAGATTCGCAATAATTATCGAGTTATTAATGAGGAATCTGAGGAATAGGAGCGCACTAACATAGATGATTGGAGAAGCGTTGCAGCTACTCAGGTCACAGCGTGGCCCACTCAACGCAGCAACTGTGAGCGACGTGCGGCGAGATGTAGGTCCGGCGAGATAAAACAACGAATAGCGGCGCATTGTCTTTCCCTTCGCCGCACACCGGCAACAGTTGCTGGATCGCGCTGCGGCCTAAGCAGCTGCAACGCTTCTCCAATCATCTGCTGGCGCGCTCCCACTCCTCAGATTCCTGTCATTAATAACTCGATAATTATTGCGAATCTCGCAAAACGGTATGGGACTTTTATGTTTGTCTTAACCCAATCTACCTTTACATTTCGGATTGTAAACTTATAACTCCCCACCCTATATATATATACATATACTATGTCAATATATAAATATATATTTTTGAGCATGTACGCAAAATCAGTATGAGAATATGATATTGCTTTAGAATGATTGCACAAAATGATTTTATTAGTTGGCAATTGTACATTTGGTATGATGTTAAATAATTATTAATCGGTCTTTATATTGTTGGCTGCCAATCAGTATATAAAATTCGAATATAATGCTATTATCTATTGTACTATTTATGTGGAGTATTAACTATAAACAAACTTAGCAAAAGTGATATAATTTTAAGTAAAAATTTGCATATATATATATGTTATATGTATATACATACATATATATATATATGTGTTTTTATTACATAATTACATATTTTCGCATATATTTATAAACTAAGTTATATAATTTATTTATATATTCTAATCTGTATCTATTTACAAATATTCAAATATTTTGTTAATAAGTTGTTTAATGTTAATTAAATTAGGTTATTAATGGTAATATTTATCATTTAAAGAGAGTCAGCTAAATTTTTTTTATACAGATAGACCTACGATTGTTTAGCAATAATAGGTTACTAGTAAAAGCACGACATTAGTGTTGTGCTATTTCTATCTCAGTTTTCTAGTTTATAAATCCGATATCTTGAAACTCGAAAAAGAGTTCAATGCTCCACTTGAATAGTGAAAATAGATTATGTATATAGCAGAATTAGATTACGGCTCACTACAATGTAACATTGTACTATTAAGTAAGTTAAGAAAACAGTGAGATGCATGCGAGAATATCACCGATAATAAGATAGATTTTAGATTACATTGGCATAACTATAATTAATGCAGGATAAGTTTGCAGATTTAATTTTGGAAATGCAAAATTATACAATCTATAGTTATCATTAATGATGTAAGGTAATTATTTTATAGAAGATAGTAAATAAACTTAAATAATATTAAATATGTACAGTATGAGAGAGAATAAGAATCCGATGTATATGAAATTATATGTACAAGTATGCGATTTTCTCTCTTCTTGATCATTTAAGTACAAATGACAAAATGCTCTTTAGTCACATTGTAAATACATTATGTATCTGAACTTTATGATATATATTGTGATATATATCACAATATTGCTTCCTATGGCTGTGATTATTGGGTTATTAGATGTTGACTTTAAGAGGGAGTAATATCATGTAAAACTCATATTTCACGCCATATTTTTATTTATTGTTACAATTTTATAATATTGTTACCGGATAAATCGCATGATATTGTTGAAACTAAATATTCGTATATAAAAATATATACGTGAAAATAACAATTTAAAATAATTTCGTAAATATTTAAATTAGAGTTAATACAACAATTACAGAAACTGTCCTCTTCTTTTCTTTTTTATTTCTCTTTATTTCTTTTAAGAAGTCGAAATCAATGTATGATTATAAAAATTTTATTAAATTTAAAGCTGTTGGCCTTTTTATCGCGAAACTTTTAATTAATAAGCGTCAGAAGCGAGAAAATTTATGCCGAAAGTTCTTACGGATTATATTGAAATAATAAGACATTTATAAAACAATACTTGCAATTAATTGATTGTTTAGGAGCATGTTTAAAATGCCCCTAAAACTTTCTTTTTGTTCTTACAAACCGTAAACAACCGTAAAATTTAACATGACATAATCTTCCTTTTTAAACTATCTTTTCTCATTTTATCGTATTAACTTTTCGTCCATTTATTGATTTAACAATAAAGAAATTTCAGAGCATTTTAGGAAAATATATTTAATCGATTGTAAATTTTTCATTTTTTGGATATACCTTTTTATTTTGATACAATCCATAAAAATTTTTAGTATACATTTTCTCGTTTCTAACATAAGAATTAGAGATAGTTACAGCGAAGAAACAGAGACCTCTCTTAGCAATATATATTTGAGAATTCCTTTTGGTTATATATACTATATATATTCTTATACCGGGTGTTTCAGACCACCCGGGTCACCCGATTTTTTCGTTAACGCGACATGTTAGAGAAAAATATTTCAGATTACAAAAGATGTAGGGCTTCAAAGGATCTATTTACTGACGCTATGAATTTGACTTTGGGATAACCTTGAAAAGTCTAGTCAAGATCAACATAAAAATCTGAAATGGAAACCGCGATTTTCTATTACACCGTCTTTTTCCACCAATTAATTTGAACAACTTTTGTCTAAAATATTTTTTCATTTGCCTAATATTTTTCTAGATATTGAAGGAAAACTTGATAACTTTTTCAATATTTAACTTACGATATCTCGCTAACTAGTTGTCGGAAAAAAAAGTGGTACTAGACTTTTTTGTTCTATTTAGTCTTAAGAATATATTTTTACAATAGCGCCCTGACTTTTGTTAACTTGCTGATTTTTCGAAATTTCAAAATCATCAAATAACTAGAAAAAGATGATGTAATAAAAAATTGGGGTATCCATTTAAAATTTTTATGTTGATCTTGACTGGACTTTTCAAGGTTATCCCAAGGTCAAATTCATAGTCAGTAAATAAATCCTTTGAAGCCCTACAACTTTTGTCTGAAATATTTTTCTCTAAAATGTCGCATTAACGAAAAAATCGGGTGACCTGGACGGTCTGAAACACCCGGTATATACTATATATATTCTTGTCATTCTATACATTATAATTTATTATATATATTGTCACGCTTACACACGCGAGCAATGAACAGAACACAATTTTTAAGAAAAGAGAATCGTGAAACTTTTCTTTATATATATATACAGATCTTTTTTTAGCTCACAGGTAATTTTGCGAATTAATAAAAGCTGTCCCTGTCAACATCAAACACCGGCTTGTGAGACTTTTCCTCTTCCTTTAACACGTTTCCCAGGGAACTGATTCATTTTTTGTTACTCGCTAATATTGATTTTCTTCATCAGCTATTTTTTTAAGTACGCAGACATGGAATCCTGACGCGGGTGCTTTGTGCTCTTTTTCAAAATTGTTATTTCGATAATAAGAAAAGCTGTAATTTTCTATTCCCATAGTATTGATTCCAAGATCCTAGTATATTTCCTTGTCCTAACTTGAGTTGCTCCTATAGACCTTTCGAGCCGTTTTGTCTGGTTCCAATCAAATACCAGCTCCGAAACATCATGGCTGCATTGAATTTTATCTTATTCTTTTTGTGCTTCATTTTGGTTTTGATTATCTTTAGCCTTGAGATCTTGGTTCTTCTTCTTCAGACATGGAAAACTGAGATAGCGTCCGTGGTCACAATAAATCTGTTGAAACAAAATTACTCTTAAATCTCTCTGCTTCGGTATTTGCCCTAAGTTCTATAGAAAGACCACAGGGGATAAAAACCTATGAGTGATGCAATATGCATTATTAACTCGATGATCTTGTGGACATGATGAATCAGCGAACTCCACTTTCTCCTGGGAAACAGTGACGTCATTCCATAGTTCTTTTCTTTTTGTTGAATACTATAAAAATAAAATTGTGTGACAGTAATTAGAATCTAATTACTCAAAACAATAATCGAAAACAAATATACATAACAACAGGCTCCCGATGTAGTTTTTTATACTAATCCTTTTTTTCTTTTTTTCGAAAACATCGGCTAATTAGCACGAACAATCTTTTATATTCTTGAATGACTTCAGCATACAATAAGTAACTTCGTCCAACCTTTATTATAACGGGCCTCTTATTATTATTACTATATATTATTATATAGGGCCTCTTTCAGTAGCTTTGTAGCTTCGGAATCTTCCTTTTCTTTCGTTGTTACGGATTATGAAACCAAATTTTGACTAGCAAAGAAAACAATATCTTTAGCCTTCCTATCATAAACAGATTTTATTCTCTTCGACTTGATCGACATCGAATTTCATGTCGCCTCATGGATTGAATTTAATCTCTTTCTTAATTCCAGAGTGTAAAACTCCTCGGTGAAGGATCTCCCTCCCCAGGAGGAATTCCTCTCGATAAATCCAGAAGAATCCGGAGATTTTGAGCAAAACTAAATTCCAAAGGAGAGAACTTCATGGTTTCATGCTTTGAAGAACGATAAGCTAGGAGTAACACAAGGATCCAACGATCCCAATTCTTCTGACAGACCGAAACAAATTTAACAAAATAATTTAAGATCGTTCTTTGCTGCCGCTCCATTTATCCATCAGACTATGGGTATAAAGGAGTCATTCTGGTTTTCTTTATTTTTAATAAATTTTTAATAAATGTGAAAGTTCCTGGAAAAGTTTTCATTTAAAACATTTTTCGGCATGAATTTCTAAAGAAACTCCATATCTGAAAACTATTTGGGTAATGAATATTTTAGCTACCGTGTTAGTTCTAATATCTTTTTTTTTAGGAACAGCCTCTATCTATTTAAAAAACAATCCAATAACGATTATATATTTATTTCTATTAAAATTTAATGGTAAAGTCTGATATCTATTTGTATTCTATTGAATGGAGCCCCAACATTGTAAATTCGTAAAGATTTTCTTTATTGGAACAGCCAGCCTTCACGATACATTCTTCATAAGTCTGATATCAATCTTCGACATCTTGCATATTGCTCAATAAAATTCTTGACGATTTTTTTCTAATGTCTTATTTATACTAAAATGACCTGTTCGAGAATCATATTTCTCTCTCAAAATTATCTCAATCTTTTTCTATAGAACAATTATTTAAAAGACATTCTTTTTCAGTGACTGCATTTCCTATTTTTTTTATACAAAATAAGATATTTCACTGATTCCCATAAATCTTTGCAGATGGTTTTCGACAACGCTTGTCAAGAAGATCGGCAGTCCATCATTTTCTCCTGAAAAAATGTAGAAAATTTCAACTTTCTAATTACCTCTTCAGTTCTTTTTATTATCAAAACAATTCGTTCAACCATTATATCAATGTTTGCACCTTTTAAGTCTTTTTTTAGGTTGGTTATAGCGCAGAGGTTAATTGCAAGCTTCAGCTTGAAAGATCGTTGAGTGGGTTTCTAGTGGCTCAGAGATGTGACAGTTGGACCATTTATACCTAAGCCTACCGCCCCTTTCTCGAGTTTCGAGCCATCTGTGTACCATCTGAGTGAGCCCCCTTTGAACTTGGTCCCCAGATTCCCACAGATCTCGGTACATCGGCATCACCCTAAAGCCTTTTATCAGTTTGAGAGCTTGGTTATAGGTGGTCTGAGAGTAGATAGGCCATTTCTACCAGGCTTGAGGATGCTCATATGACCTTTAAAGGTTGGCACTTCGGTGTAGAGTGTCCTGCTCATTTGTAGGGCGCTTAGGAACGCCTTCTGCACTTGCTGCAGTGGTGTTAGTTCCAATGCTTCCATAACAGCTGTGGGACAAGTACACATGTCACCTGTTATACTCAGGTAGGCAAGCCTCTATTTTTTAAAGTTGTTGCTGCGCTGTTTTTTGTAAAGTTTTTGGCCATCATACTAGAGAAGCATAGGTGACCATTGGTCTTATTATGGTCGTGTAGAACCAATATATTATTTTGAGGTTAGTATCCCAGTTTCTGCCTAAGAGCCTGCGGTATTAAGAGTAGCTGCTACCGTCTTCTTGCGTAGTCCAGCCAGGTAAGCATTTCAAGGTAGCTTCTGATCCAGGATAACTTCGAGATATTTGATTTCCGTGCTGAAGTCAATAGTTATATCGTTCACTTTGAGGGCTATCAACGATAATTTTCTCTTTCTTGTGAATGGGACTATAACTGGGAGTTAATGCTTAGGCCTTTTTTGGGAGTTAATGCTTAGGCCTTGTACGTGGCACAATTTATTCATCTTTTGCATACATTATGATTCTAGGACATCCATTTTTTCACAGATTACGGTGACAAGGTCGTCAGCATAGCCTTGCACCGTAAAGCCACTATATGTAAGGGTATCTAGCAGGTCATCTATAACTATCGACCACAGCAGAGGGGAAGCACTTCATCTTGGAGGCATCCTCTGACTGTTCTAACAGTTTTTGTTTCTCCAGCCAGGGTTGCACTCACCTTGCGACTGCGGAACATATATTTTACCTTGTAATGTGGCAGTTTGAGGCGCCCGTTACCGAGCGACTAAATTATGCCAATCCGTCGATATAGCGTCGGAACGCCCGTGCGAGCGGGGCGATCGCGAGTCCCGAACGAATATTAGAATATACCGGGATTTTTCCTGGCGATTGTGGCGGGCTGAAACGAGTGACGGAGGGACCGTGGACCCAGAGCTTGTGAGAGATTTTGGGTGGAAGCCACCAAGAGCTTACATTCGCCGGTGGTCGCGGAGCGAATTTACGAAGAGCCGCGGCCGACAGCGAGCAGAGGTGAGAGGAGTCCGCGGGGCGACGGGGCACGGCAGCAGGACCGCGCAAGGTTCCCTGGGAGGTCCCGCGAGTGGGGGGCCTCCGAGGCGAAATCCATCAGGAAGCAGGAAGGATTCGTCCCTATTCGGATTTTGACCCCGAGCGAACTAGCGAGCGAACGAACGAGCGAGCAAACGAGCAAGCGAGCGGACAGGCGAGCGTGCGATCGAGCGGGAAGATCCGCGAGCGGCCACAGCGAGGCAAGGTGGTCTCCCGAAATCCGGCCCGATGGACCCGGACAGGAAGGAAGAAGGCGCCGCGTAAGCTCTTCCTGTTATCTGCGCACCTCGCGAATTTGGGGGTCACGCCGCCATTAGGCAGCCGGCCGTGGCCGGGTCCTCTTAGTAGTATTACGAGGGGCCGCATCTCGGTCCCGGTAATTTTGCGAATTCTTGGCGAGGGAGACCCGTGGCCCAGGCTCGGCGGCGAGCGACCGATAGAATTAGCGTATCTCGTAGTGCGTCGCGAATAAAAGACGTGCTCGACACACGCCACAAGCACGAGCTGGCCACATGCGACACGCATGTGTGTGGCGTGTACGCGGGCCGGTAGTGTACGTGATCCATCGGAAACTTTTGGTGCTGTCCAAACGGTTGGTGCGGTCGAGATCCAACTAACTCTTGCGATCCAGATTATTAGCGGAGTCCGTCGGACGGAGAATCCGTCGGCGGCTTGAACTGTATACGAGCGGGCCTATTTTTCTTTTGTGATCCAATTCGGACGGACGGGATTCGCCGTCCAGAGCGCGACCTTGTATCAGATAGAATATAAATTGCATGTTCATACCAAATAGCCGAGCGAGTTCTTAATTGCGCGATAAGATCCATTTAACGAACACGCCCATCTTCGACTGTAATCACATCGAGCTAGTCGGTCCTGCACGAGGCGATAATCGGGAGTCGCGATCCGACGGTAGAATTTGGCGATAATTACGAGAATCGGTGGTACGGCTATCTCCGTACCTGGCGCCCAACAAGTAGAGATATTTTCTGAGTTAGTGTAGCTGGTCGGATCGGACCCGCGGCTTTCGCTACCGGCGGAATTTCTACGACGTGGAAATCTTGCGCGGAGATCCGTGGCAGATCTCTTGGTGAAAAACATCGCAATCTATATAGTAATCAGGGGGTGGAAGCCTTTCCTTTCCGCTGCACTTGTAATTGCAGCTACTGAGATGTTGTCAAAGGCTCCCTGAATATCAATAAAGGCGCACAGAGCTACTTGTTTGGCTTCAATTACGCTTTCAATTCGTTGCACGAGTTTATGTAAGTCCGTAGTGGTGAATTTTGCCTTTTGATAAGCGTGCTGGTTTTTATGTAGAGGAGACTTCGTAAGAATCTCATTTCTTATGTACTGGTATGACCTTTTCTATTTTCTTCAAAATAGAGGACGAGAAACTAACTGGTCTGTAAGATTTAGGTTGGGCATTTGGTCACCCTCTACCCTTGGATATGAAGACCATTTTCGCCTCCATTGTGTGGGAACATATGTAAGGCTGAAGTTTGCCCTGTATAGATCACACAGGGACGGTAACACGTCATCTAAGCCATGTTATAGGAGCTAGCAAAATTCTACTCCTGGCAAAAGTCTACTTCTGAAACTTTATAGGACTTAAAGGTTTGCAAAACCCATTTTATCCTATCCTGTGTAAATATTATGGCAACCCCTTCGTTCTGGAGTTTGAAGGATTTCTAGAACTCTTCTCCTCAGGGCCCAGTAGTTGTATTGTGGAGGAGCCCGGTAAGTGTATGCTGAGTAACAGTTTAAGCATCTCCCCGATATTGGCCATCTGCCTTTTGCTAATGCCCAATATTATTTTGATGATCTTTAGCTAAGATTTTTTGCAGGCGGGCTGCTTTAGGCAAGTCTGTAAAGCCTTCATAGAAGCTCCGTTAGGTTCTCCTTTTAGATCTCTTTAATTCCTTGTTATATATTGTTAGAGCCATTCTATACTGGTCCTATAACTGTTGTTGCTGCGCTTTTTTAGCTTAATTGCTCTTAGTTGCTTAGTTAGCTTTCTAGCTCTTAGTTTCTCTAGTTTGTTGTTCCACCAGAGAACTTTTGTTAACCTTTTCTTGTCCTTTATAAGGCAGCTCTCATTGAA